CTCCTATTTCCTCACATTTTTTTTAATGCCGTACCATTTGTTAGGACAGCCTTTCTCCCCCTCCCTTTTTTTTTCTTTCCCCGGATTTAACAGCTTCCAGCAAAGGGTGCTTTCGAAAAGGATTTTATAATAGAAGCGACACGCTTGCTGGGAATGCTCCGGTCGTTTCACAATGCCTCGCAAGAAAAAGAAGAGAACTGAAAAGAGCATTGCTAAACAGAAGCGGCGGCCCAATAAGGCGCAGGGTGTGCGTCCTGCCAATGAGATACCTTGTTTGTCTCTAGGACATAGAAACAAGTCGGGCTCGATCGGTTACTACCAGGGGTCGAGTGATAGAATGAGGTTCGTCTTACTTTATTCAGAGGAATGTGACCTTCAGCACTCTCAGAAAAAAAGGATATATACCTACGCTTATTGTCCCATACAATACAGCCAAAACGTCTGTTTGACGTTCAGAGTACTGGCGTTTAACCAACTGCACCAACTTTCACGAGTGGCTTGATAGCTAAGAGGTACAACATATTAAAATATCTAATGTGCGTGTTACTGACTATAAAAAAATAATCGCAGTTTTCTTGGCCCTTCTGCGAAACCTCAGTGTTTTCTTTTTGTAGTTTATGTTACGCACTTTATCTGTTTATTAAGTTATTTCGCACCGTTATCAAGCCCCCTGTGAAAGATAGTACTGTTAGATCGACGTCAGTGCGCTGTACGTCGAACGGAAGTTTCGGGGTGCATTAAATGGGACAAAAAGGTGTACGACGACACCTTTTTTTTTTTTTTTATTGAGAGTGAAAAGAGAAACGAAGACCCAAGAAAAGTCCTATTTCTAAAGTATACGTTTGTTTTTAACGGACCCCCCCCCCCCCCCCCTCCCCTTTTCTCCCGCTCGCAATGAAAAACATTGTCCCTCCGTCTGTCCCTGCACTTTACACAAAAGTTAGCGAGGAAATTGATGTCGCGTGACCTGAGCACCAATAAAGATTCGGCGAGGAATTTAGCGGAAATGTATGTCACACGACCTGACGTCACAAGCCCTTCAGACCTATTCAGTTTATCTGCTAAATTTAGCTGTAAAATTGACATCACGTAACCCATGTACCAATTTGTTTTCAACACTAAATTTTGCGAAGAAATTGATGCCATATGACCTGACGTCAATTTACTTACACACCTATCCGGTTTGCCTTTAGAGGGGTCAGGACACGCCACAAATAGAATATGAAGTAACTATACTTCATGGATCTATTGTATGTTCCCATCTTCCTGCTAAATCTGTTTTAAAAATGGCGCGATAATTTTGCGGATAAATCGATTCATATGCTGGACCGTGGGATCAACCCCATTCGAAAAGGCCGCCGTGGCAAGCCGGACGGTGACGTCGCCAACCAACCGCGCAGCGTCCCTGTGCACGCATTTAAAGACTTGGCTCTCATGGTGTCTCGAGCATCAGCTTCCTCCAACGCTACTAGAACCACTCCCAGAGAGCCTGCCCTGAAAAAGTGGCACCGATCTGTACTCGAGAACCGAGCTAATGGCGATCGCAACGCCGCCATATTTTTCGCAGCGGCCACTCGGGGAACTGCACGGCTGCTTGTATTGGTTCGGGAGTATCGCATTCGATAGCGCCCGCTCTGACCGTTATATTTTGGCTCGAATCTGCCATTTCGGCGCCGAAACATACACGGGCGAAGGGGTTCCAGGGATGCCGACCCGCGACTCCGAAGCGGAAGCGCCGCAAATTACTTCCAAAATTAGTACGCGCCAATGTCGGAACGCGCTGCCTGAAATCACCGGTGGGACATACTTGTATAAAAACAATATTAATAGTGCCGCTAAACCTTGTTAACTAATGATTTTAAAAAACATCACGCGCCTGTAATTTTGTACTTATCTTTATTAAAAGTTCCCACAAAACGAGTTTTTTTCTGTTTGTCTTTGCGCAAAAGCGTGCTTTCTAAGAGCTCAGGGTGATAACTGTCAAGAAAAAAGATTCTGAGCCGCCATCTTGGTACCTTGAGCCTGGGAGTTTCGGTGCTCTGGGAACATTCAATGACTCTAGCAGTAGCCATATTGTCACGAATGATAAGTGATGAGGCGACGAAAACTGAAGAAAGCTAAACGTTTAATGGGGCGAACTTGTGCCTAAAACAAAAAGGAAACAAAAAACAACAACAGAGCGTCGCAGGCGTCAAAGTCGGCGTAATTACAGGATCGACCGCTGGGGAAAGACTGACTGCGGGTCGCCACGCGGAGCCCCTTATGTACCATCGGGTTCGAATGAAATGCGAACAGTGACGGAACTTGGAGCCTAGTACCGGAGCAGCTTCAAAACTTTGGTTGTGCTTTGCAAATTTCAAATGCATCGGAGTAGGACGCACAACCTCGCAACGTCCTACTACGATGTGTTTAAACCTCGCCGAGCACAACCCAAGCTTTGAAGCTGCGCCGGTACTAGTGTCCAAATTCCGCCACTGTTCGTATTTCATTCAAACCCGATGGTACATGCGTGGGCCTCTGGAATAATCGGCGTAGAAGGTTCGACGCGTAGTACATTCGGACCTCGAACAAGCAACAGGATTCTTTAATTTACCAGAACACTAAATTGAAAGAATAACAAATGATGCGTCCCTTCCATGTGTTGCATCGGCGCTACTGCGTGATGCACGTTAAAGACCACCGGCTAGCGGTTGTACTGCACTGCCTAAATTGCTCACCTACAGTCGGAAACAATGTCGCCATGTTATGGCAGACTAAACTCCTGTTGTATAAACCACTAAAAACTACTTCTTTTTTACTTTCTTTCTTTTTTTGCATTTATCACGGAATTGATTTAATCACGGTTTTATTTTGCAAGCAAATTGTAAGCAGGCTTCTGATAGTTGTCCTGCTTCCATCTCAATACAGATTAGTTGGTTTAAGGGACTCAGCAGATTGGGGAAGCTGGTCAAAATCTGACCAAAAGAGTGTTACCCAACCCAAAACTTAGAGGTCTGCAAATCATAAAAGTTCACCAGCAATCAAATTTTAATCAAACAGTGCCAAGTAGCGACCAGAAAATAAAATGTATCGAATATCTAACACGAAAACCTTTGCATGCAATGCACCGAAACTATACAAAAATTGCTTAGACTAAAGCAAACCCATACTTGCTTGTTCTTGCAAAGGGCACGTGGATCGAAGAGCCGCGATAGCTGCGCTAATTGAGAATTTGCGTAGACCGTTCGCATACCTCCACTGCACGGCAACAAAGATCCTGCTAATGCGCGTGTGCACCGCTAGCCTTATCCGGAGTTCCGGATTTCGTAGCAGGTTGCGAAGAGCGTTGCGGAATGGCACAAACGACATACGAAAACTCCCTAATGTCCACATGACAATGCGCAACAGTCCGAATCTCGAGACTCTACTGAACAATGTGGCCACCCATTCACGAGGGGACACGCGCAGCGTGCTAGAGGGATGGTCTGATAAGGCTGAACCGTTTCGATCGCATCCTATTAGCGATGTGCGCGGCCAAAAGCGTCGCTGTAGTCAGCTTTCCACGATTGGCCAAACCGTGTGCATATGAGCACTGTTAGATTGTCAACTTTGACGGTGTTAGCTTCGGATTGCGATGGCTCCTAGCTTCTACTGTGCTTTTTAAACGCACCATCGAACTCGTCGTCGCACCCGATGGCAAGTAGCCAGAATAACAACTGGTGACGTCACGGCGAGGCAAATCCCAGTCGTGACGTCACGGAGGGAAACGATAAGAGGGCGCCACCGAAACATCTCGGCGCTAATAGGAAGTATTCACTGGACGCCATTTTTGTGGGTGCTGTTTAGAGCGCATGTTCAGAACGAGCTCACATTAATAGCCCGCTAAGACCGGCAGTCTTGATGGTGCGGAATGCACGTTGCAAAAGAACTGTGAAATCTCGCCGTCAGCACGCGTTCAGAATTCGCGCACACACCTATGGCCGCCAGTGAATACTCCCTATAGCCACAGTACCTTTCCGCCTGTTTGCTAACCAGTCGCTTCTCAAATGGGGTTGTTGTTTTATTTTAGTAATTAACTTTAATATTATTCACGCCATTAAGATGAAAGCCTGTAGGGAAAGTCTTGTGTTCACTTTGGAAATTGAAACTCACGAAGTTCTGCAAGACATAAAAATAGAAGTTTTCAAGCGTGAGTAATATCTTAGGTTAATCAATAACGCACAGGCACTAGTTACACAAAAAAAAATACTTTTCTGAAAAAAAAAAAAGAGCTTCCGCTTTCAAATTATTCACTTAAGGTAAGATCCACCGACCCCAAACAAACATTTGAAAGAGTACTTTGATTCGTTTGTTATTCGAACGTTGAGAGGACATTTTAAGGTCCAGTGAAGTGTTAATATTTTGTAAAAATTCAGTTCATTTTTTTCAGGAATAATAATATTTTATTTATTTATTTTACTTTTTTTAAGGATATTTGCGTTTTTAAAGGGGTCGCAACAAAATCAGCGTCAACTGCGGAACGGCTTCTCGCCCTGAATAAACAAGAAACGGGGCCACATTGATATGTAAACCTTTTATATCATTATCGAGGCTATCTTGACATGCGAGGATAGATACAACTGTACTTGCAGCATAATCTTAACCATGGGTCTCCTGAAAAAATTTGCATAATAAATACATTGCGCAAAGTACTTTTTATACAATATTTTTAGACAAAACCGAAGCCGTTTTTTTAAATCCGAAGGTGTAAGGTGGAATGAAACAATAAATAATCTTTCGTAATAAACTAATAAAAAAATAGTAATGCTCCACGTGAAGCGGAATTTGCTTGCTTCTTTTCTTGAGGCTATACCCGATGGCATGTACCTGTGTTTTCTTTTGTAAATGCTTGAGGCATTTTCGGTTCTTGAACCTGAGTTGCTTGTATTTTCAGCTGCTGCTTAGTTTTTGATTTTTTTTCCTCCAATGACTTAGCCTTTATAAATGTGGTCTGAGAATGAACTCCTCAGTGACTACAGGCACGCCATGATTTCGACTAGAATTTTACTCCCGCTCGCGGCGCTCGCGCTGGCTTGCATTGCGGGTAAATATCGTGTTTGAATTATCACTTTTTTCATTATTTACGAACTTGATCCAGGTGGAAACGCGTGTCACCTTGCACATTTGCCTTAGTGCCAACCATTAACCCATCGCAGAAAACCCATTAAAGCACTGTGTTTTTCCTAAGAAACGGAACGCAGACACGTAGAGGCAGGTTACTAAAGGTTACGCCATCTCCAGGAGCGCTCGGGGATACATATTATTAATTTTATCCACACGTTTGGCCTTATGCTTGAGCTATCCATTTCAAAACTGCAGTATCGCAGAGTGAGTATTCTTAAAGAAAGGTCACCTGGCAACTATCGTTTGGATCTTAGGTTGCCGGGGGCTTGTAGTCGTTTGTCTCAGGTGTGTTTATAATATTTGCCCCCCCCCCCCCTCCAACTCTCCTTTTGTTTTGTTTTGCTGGGATCTACTTGCGTCGCGCGGAGACCGTACGTCATCCTCCAAAAAATGAGTCTGTTCCCTAAATTTATTTTGGCGATAAGAACTTATTTCTCACGCGAAGACATATCTTTATATATTAATAACCTTTATTTGGACTTCTTGAGTCACGGGTGAATGGGCAAATGGTAAACAGACTTTACCTCACAAGCCCCCCCCCCTACCCTACAACGCTTTTTTTTTCTTTATTGAACCTACCCTACAACGCACAGCACGAAAAAAAAGGAAATGGTAATAACACAAACAGACCAACCGGTTGCAAGTAGAGAAACATGTGATTAACATATACACATTAAACAGGAAAACATGTTTTACAATCAAGTTTCAACTTCAATACACAGAGATATAACGAGTGGCGTATGGCCTAGACGCTTCTCACGAAACTACAAATGCAAAATACAAAATGCATACCATTCATACATGCATGCATTCATACACATATACTAAGCTAATGAGAAGCGTCCAAAAGGTGGAGTTTGATGGTCTTTTTAAATCTAGGTAATGAAGTAGGAGATTTTAATATTTCAACCACTTACGGGTGTTCATTTCAGATTTCTGGTATTTTGTAGACTAATGCTTGTGAGCCATAGTTTGTCCGTATTAAGGGTTTTATGAAAGTTTCATTCCTCAGATCATATTGGGTTGTCTTAGTATGATAAGTATCACAAAATTTATTTTGTTCATTGTTGTAGTAATATTATATTTCCATGGCTAGCTTTGCGTATACAGAATTTTTATATTCAAAATTTTATACTTTTTGAACTATGGAGCTGAATGATCGGTGCAGCGAGCGCCTGCAATACAGCGAACTGCTTTTTTTCTGTTTTCCTAATAACCTATCTAGATTGGTTTTAGTGGTGGTTCCCCAGAGTAATAAGCAGCAGTGTAGGTGCGATTGTATTAGACTGCAGTGTAACTGACATTTTAGTCAATTAGGGAGGAGATCTTTTAGATTGTATATGATGCCTGTGGATCGAGATATTTTAGAACAAACATGGTTTATATGGCGGGTCCATCTTAGTGTTTCTTCGAAGAAAACGTCTAGGAATTTTAGGAAGGTCACTCGCTCCAGTAACATGTTTTTAAACGTTATTTTAAAATTACTACCTAGTTGCTTAAGACCAGATTTGAAAATAATGTATTTTGTTTTGTTAATGTTTAGTCTAGTTGGCTGGAGTTAAGCCAGAGTTCAAGCTCGCGAAGCCATGCATTTGATGCACCCTCGATTACACCTATATCTTTATCCGTAGAAAACACATTAGTATCAACTGCGTAAAGTATAATGTCTGGAGTTTTAGGTATATTTATTATATCAATAATATAAATAAGGAACAGTAATAGCCCTAAAACTGATCCTTGAGGTACGCCATACCCTAGTTTTTCTTGTTCAGACTCAATTTTATTTATTTTTACATAGTGTGACCTGTAAGCTGCGAATTAAATCCCAAGTTATTCCCCGTATACCATATTATAATAACTTTATTAAAAGAATGTCATGTTTAATCGAATCGAACGCTTTGCGAAAGTCTAAGATTCCTACAGTGTATCGTTGATTTTTAGAACTACTTATCAGCTTATCCTTGATAAGTAACAGTGTCTTTTCTGTCGACTTATTTTTCTGGAAACCGTATTGTTGTTTTACAATTGTTTTTCTTTCTCTCAAGTAATTTGAAAATTGAACATTTATAGCCTGCTCTAGGACTTTAGAAAATAAAGGCAGCACCGAAATTGGTCTATAATTACTTTCATTGTTATGTGGGCCCCCTTTATGTATTACACATACTCGGGCTAGTTCCATTTTTTCCGGAAATATGCCAGTCAGTATTGAAGTGTTGCAAATACGTTTCATTGGACGACTTAAAAAATGAGATACTGCTTTGATCGGTATAGCCTTTAGGTCGTCGGCTCCAGCTGCTGTGTTATTTTTAAGGCAAATAATATATTAATTATCTCCTCCTCTGTCAAAGGACTAAGAAAAATTGAGCTTGCAGATCCAAGCGAAGGCATATCGCGGAGTAGGAGCTACAAATGCAGTCAATAGATTTATACTCAGTACAGTGAAATATTGTTTTGTATTTCAAGATATAATAAAATGTCAAACGCACAATAATTTTTTAAAACTCACGTTCTTTTTTCGTATCTTTGAGAATAAGTATACTTAAGTGTTCGATTGTTACTGGAACTGCAGAGGGGACTGAAACGATGTATTCGACCATAGTTTCTTTCATACGCACGACGATCTTTTCTTTTTATAAACCGATTATTAAAAGACTGTGTGTCCTAATTGGAACTTTAAATTATGATGTCTTTGGAACATCTGGTTAATAACACGTAAAGGAAGGCAGCTGATCACTTTCTAAGCTCGCGTTCAAGCCACTGAATTACAGTGCTTCAAAAGAAAGAGTCACGAAAAAATAACTTAATCATAGGCCACGCCCCGTTCTTATTAGGCTGTAGGAGACTATAGATGTAGCAATAGACATCACGTTTGGGGGTTACTAAAAGTCATAGATTCTTAATTACATAGCTGTGGCCTTTAAAAAAAGCAGTAATACCGGAAGCCACGCCCGTGTTTAGACGCAGAGCACACATATTCGACTATCCCCTTTACCTCAATCGTACCGAAACGTTGTGCGTATGAGTTAGATATTTAAAGTATGTTGATTGAACTATGCAAGGAACGAAAAGTGTGTGATCACCTCTCAAGGGCGGCTTATTTATCAATATATTTGACATTTAGTTTTCTGTCTGGTATCTGCTTCTCCGCTATAGTTATTTCAGTTTTCAGCGTACGTTTGAATATATGTCTACGCTGAAACCAACAAAAATCTGGGAAAGAAAAATGTCCCTCCTATTTTTCATGTTGCCTATTCATACTTGATTCTAAAGATAACATTTGCTCAAATTATCCCTCTTCGTTGGTCTATTTTGCATCTTGACGGGATCAATTGTATTGATAGAGTCTGTAGACCTATTGACTTACCCACGTTCTCAACCACGTTTTAAGTTTGACAAAAAAGCAAGCCATTACAACCTCCACCAACTAAAGAAATATAAAAAAGGCCAAACAAGGATGTGTAACAGAGTCGGTTAGAAGGTTAGCACCTTTCAGTGGCATGGCAAGAAGGAAGCAATGTTTTCTTATTTTATGGAAGTCTCATCAATTCAAATTGGTTAGCGCGGCGTAGAGAGGGTGTAGGCTGTGAAGTCTGAATAAAATAACATGGCACGTGGTAGATAAGTCAGTTTCTGCCATAATAACGACTTGATTTGTTCGCCTTTTTCTGACTATTCAGGGGGCTCCGCCAACCGAGGTCAAGGAAATCCGAACCCAGGTAAGCGCTATTTTTAGGGTGAACACCACTGTGCTTCAAAAGGACGCCAAACTCCCAACATTTCAGTTAGAAAAACAGTAGAGAACGCCAGCTGTGCGTACGTTATAAGCGAAAACTTTATTCGCGAGTCTTCAAGCAACTATATTAAGAGAGACTCGCTCATAATTTACGAGAAAAAAAAACACGGGAAATTTACGACGTGTTTGAGACATACAGAACTGACGGCCGAAAACGTCCTCAGCGCTTGTCTGTGCACAGCTTCTGTGTACAATATTTGAATGCCACATTTGAAAACATCCAGATTAAGGATAAATAGAACTTTTAACGTACTCTCGGCTGTGGGCTAGCGTAGTGTGAAACAAAGTATAAAACATTATCAGCATTGGCACGGAGCTGTTAACTAGTCGGAACCAGTATCGATCTCAGTGCATCGCCAGCCACGTGAGGCACTCCCGTCGCACTGAAGGTTCGCACCATGAAATATTCCACCCCCCCCCCCCCCCCCTCACAGCCCCACATGCAAAACTGTAGAGCAAAAAAGAACGGTGGCTTTCTTGACTTGCATTGCAGGACATGCGGTTGTACCCCACTGTTGGATGAATGCGTAAAAATTGGGAAATGCAAGTCAGCGGTAACACGCGAAATCATAGAAGCCGAGCATATTGATTATTTAGGATACACATGTGTTGCTATGCCGTCGATTGCATTATCGGAGAATGAATTGTTTTTCCTGAGAACGAGATAGTGTTGTTTCCCAGTTATGCTATGTGATGGCGTTTTTCCTTTACTTTTTTTTTTGTTGTTGTCATTGTAACAATGGTTGAGACTATATATATACCGGAACACGTTTTCAATAAAATTCAGTTGAAAGTTGCGCCTTGTTGTGTCCTCTTCTCTGCTTTTGTCCTCGTCTTTGTTGCGCACAAGATTGTATAAGATGTCAAACCAACTCGCACAAACAACCACTCTTTTTGTTTAGCATGATGAGATTCTGCTCGCTATTTGCAGTCATGACGTCGCTCGGGCTGCAAAAGCGTGAACCGTACCTGTGATGGTCGACGTCAATACTGAAACTCGCAAGCAGAATCGGACCAAGTAAATCAGGCATAACAACTCGGTGATGGTCACTGGTAACAATTATCATCATATACCTTGTATCTACTCTTTACACCGAGTCTGCTGACCCAACCAACCTTCAAACTTATATTTTTTTAGGCCTGCTCTTACTACTTATCGTAATTACCGGGTTACCGTTTGGTCTACACGGCGCTGTCGTACGAGATTACGACAACAAGCAGAAACGTTTGAAAGAGCCGACGACTGTTCTAACGATCAGGAGGCCGTTTGAACTTGAAGACGCACTGAACGTAGTCCGGCAGGTGATCCGTACAACTTGGCGGTTTTCCCGCGTTCATGTTGGAAAAAAAAACAAATAAATCTGACGACCACAAGCATCCGGTAATTCAACCCAAAGTGCTTCCCGCACAAGCAATCGCGGCCCGACGGCGTCTAGCTTTTCTTTTTAACAGCACTTATTCGGGTTATTGGACAAACCGAAGAGACCGAAAGCTCATGAAAACTGACCTTGAAACGTTTCCCGACTCTTTTGGTACAGCCCCCGTCGCGGCGTTTTGAAAAGAAGACAGATCTTTGTCTGGTTCTATCAAAAACAACACTGAGATGCACGTCCCGCATGATGCTTTCTGGTGACTGCGCCAGAACGGAAGTGCGCCCGTCGAGCCACCCCATACAAAAATGTCCTATGGTCGGCTATAGATAATTCTTTGTATGGTCGGCTTTAGCTGCTTGGCCCAATTAGCTAAAGAATTTTCTATGGCTGTCTTTAGCATTTTTTACGGTCGCCTTTACGGTTTTCTTTAGCTTTGTCTATGGCCCTATCGCTGTCTAGCCATAGCGCTCTTTAGCTTCTCTAATGGTTGGCTAACGACTTCTCTATGGCTTACCCTATGGCTCTCTTTAACCAACAAACTCTAAAAAAAATTTACTTCAAGTTCCCCCGACTTATGAACGCTACATGTGGATGCATACATCTCTGAACACAAAGAATACACGGAACACAAGCAGAACAACTACCCCACACAACAACAAAACGCAGCGCTTTTTTTTTCTAACAAGCAACAACGCAGCGCCATTGGAGCGAACATACGCTATGTTCGCACTAGCTGTATATATGGCAGTCTAATTTTTGAATCCGATTTTGCCGGTGACCCATCATTTGTCGCAAAAACACAGACAGGCGGAGCAAAGATTACTCATACTTAATACATTATCTGAATTGTCTCGTGGAATAGCCCCCATCTCTTAATTCAATACCCTGAAAAAAGCAAATGTAGCTCATTAGGCTAATTAACAAAAATTTATTAATTATCATGTTAAAGAGTTTGATGAATTACGTTAACAACGCAGTGATGACATGCATTACATTAGCGCTGAAAATTGCAATCAAGCTATTGCTTGATTGCAATGTTCAGCGCCAGTGTAATTTATTTTCACTTTTGGGGGTAATAATTAATTTCGATCGTTTCACAAGTATTTTAATGGATTTAAAAAAAAAACAATATTACTGGTTTTCACGACTCGTTGCAACAGCAGAGAACATGGTTTGTCACCGACATTACAGAAATTTAGTATTGATTTAATTTTCTAACTTGGAGTGTTTTTTACTAAAAAAGTAAGCGTCGGTAGTGATTTTTTATAGGCGTGGAAAGAAAATGTATTGGTTCACCGTCTTTAGACACATGTCCATAGGTTTTTCTACTGCTGGCTGTAGCTGTTTTTATGGATTTCTATGGCCGACCATAGAGGGCCACAGGGGGTGATAGCCTGCCATATAATTTTCCATAGACGACCATAGACCATTTTTGTATTGGACCACCGCGCTGTGACATAACAGAGCTGAGTTCGTGCATACATGCTTGGCACCTGACGTCATCCGTCAGCTCTCCGGCCATCACCTGAGACGAAGGGAACGAGGAACTACACCTTTCACCGGGACTCTATCCTGGGTGTCCCGTCCCAGACGTGCCCAAACGTCGCTATTCTCCCCCTAGATGATTATAGATTAATCCGTCACCCTAAATTCGTACAAAAACAGCGTCCCCCCCCCCCCCCCCTCATTCTCTTACATTTTGGTGCGTAATGAATGATGTGACGTCAGTGTAAAGCACGAATAAACCTTTGCAAAAAGAGCTCTCCGGCCGCCGCCATTTTGCAAATCGAGCGAATCCTATCGACAGTGGAACGACAAGTTCTCTCTTCGGAACCGGTAGCTTTCAAGGCATGGTGGCGACTGACGAGCACCTGTCAATCTCCCACATGACTGTGAGCCGAGCTATCAAAGTTTTTGCGGCTGCCATCGTTTTTTTTGTTTTTTTTTTCTGTAATATCCCAAGAGGTACTAATAAGCTGGTATACAATTCAGAATGTTGAAAAACAAACAAGAACTGGGGTAATTCTTGGGCAGGGTGGAGTCTCCCGGCAGCCGGCAGAATTATTTCCCCGAAATTCTACTGGCAGTCGTCACTCATTGGCGGTCAAATCAGTTCATCGAACGACGTGTCGTCGACAGATCGTTTCATCGGCAAGCGATGTAATCACATGAAAGATATTTTCTTCCGTTAGAGATATAGAGACATTAAACATTTTCACACCTTTATATATGTAAGTGGGGTGTCCCATACCTAACACCCTAATAAGTGTAGGAATAGACCTTATAAAAATGTAAACCTCACACCCTTAAAAGTGTGTGATTTTTTAAACACGTTTCTTAAAACATCTGATATGCACTACACCTTTTTATAAAGATGTAAAACTACAATACTCCTTCTCGTAAAGGGGTAATTACCACAGTACGCTACTCTTTCGGGGTGTACACAGTGGCCCGGGACCCAATAAAATGAATGAACAAATAAATTACACAAACGAGTCGCCGAAACAGCACGTTGCTTGTTGGCGAGTGTCGAGGCAATTTCGGCCGAAAACCGGCTTCAATATTGGCCGGATGTACGGTTTTGCGCCTCGTCCCGACATCCAGCAGGTGTGGGCGTACCGATGCAAATGAACTATTTACGTCTAATAGCACTGGAATTACTGATCTCTTAGGAGGCTGGATCGCAGATAGAGGCCTGTGTTGCTGGGGTTGAGCGGCACCACCGGCAGTCATCGCGAGACAAGATCTAATGCATTCTATTGGAGAAACGGCAAAACTCAATTTTATTGCGTTAGAGGTTGTTCTAGATCAGGAAACTTCTATCGTGTTTACCGCAAATAACAGTTAATATTGTGGGCAAGAATATTAAACGCGTTAGAATACCAATTTTTTAAAATAAATGTTGTGTGGTCGAGGGCGACTTTGTTGGGCGTTAACTGTGATGTGTTTGATAAAACAAGGGTTACCGAGTGTTATTGTGGAGTCATGCGTGATCTCGGAGTCGTCAGAGCTCAGCAAACGATAAGTTAGAAGGCCTTTACTGGAGACATTCGCACCGTTTTAACCGCTTGTACATAATACTTCTCGTGAAAGCTTTTTCTTTGAACTGCTGTGAGGGCTTTCATGACAAACTAAACCTCTGAGCGTGCCGTTCAGTCGTTGAACGTGTCATTCATTTAGCAACCGAAGGAAGCGACGTCGGAAAAGTCAGCGGTGCTCTGGCCGATTTTTTTTTTTTTTTAATCGATGTTTGAACGTGTGTTGAATGTCTATTTGATCTCCAAGCACCCGATATAATGATCGCAGCACGTCATAAAATACTCGCCCTCGGGCACCGCCTACAAGCTTCCTACTTTTGCGTGTTTCTTCCTTTGACTTGAGTGTATTGCCTGTTGTCAAGCAATTGCCGTCGGTGATACCAGTGATAGGCTCTCGATCTGCGATCCAGACTTGCACTGTGAGAGTTCTAATGCATTGCACCCGCGGAGTGCTCCACGGAGAACCGGCCCAAACGAACTTGCCGAATCCACCGAGTGCAGATTGATGCTGTCGCCATAAATGTTGTAGAAAAGTACCGACCTCAAACTGAAACTAGCGCTTTTTTGTTCGACGTGATGGGTGGGAATGCGAGAGTATAGTTGCTGCCATCGTTTATCTATAAACGTCGGTTCCTGCAACGTGGAACTTACATTTGCGATGACTTCAAATTAAGCAGCTCGGCTGTCAGAGATATTTACAGACGGCGTAAGTTTCCGAAACCAGCTGACTACAAAACATCATACTCTTGAGAAAATTGATGGCACTGTACAAGCAAGAGCTTGCTCCGTTTTAAACATGGTATTATGAGTGAACCACTGAAAGGATAAGGCTTAAATCTAGTTCGTTGGAATATCTAGCAATACGTTTCCTAAGACTTCTTATTTCACCGGTGATGGCGTTGAGAACGAGTGCTTTCTCAAACAAAATACGACGGGGCAAGATAGCTGCCGTTCAAATATGACTTTGCTCAAACCTCGGGCAACGTCTCCATGTTTAGCTTTCCCAGACGCTGAGTGAATGTGTCAAAGGTTTCTGCTGTGAGAGCTTTGTCGACAAATGTTCCACTTTTCACCCGCACTCAAATGATGCGAGATCTCGCGGCCTCTGTGTTTGTCCTGAGCCTTTCCTTACACACTGGTAGGTTTCAGCGTCTGTACGGCAACATAGCGACTCAAATTTTGCAAGTAAAGCACGGGTCGTCGATTCCTCTCTTCGTGAAATTTCAGACGCTTACAAGTCAAGCTCGCGTTTGAGTTTGTGGTCTGCGGGACGCGATTTCGAGCAGAAAATCTACTTTTTCTTTCAGTTCTGCTGTGCGAATGCCTCATCGTAGCAGACGAACTCCCTTCGCCTGCTCTTGCTCCTCGTCTGAGCGAGGTATGGAGAGATCGAATAGGGAGTATTCACTGGCGGCCATATCCGTGTGCGCTGCTGCTGAGCGCGTGCTGACGGTGAGCTTCCGCAGTCATTTTGGAGCGTGCATTTAGCACCATCAAGGTCTTAGCAGGCTAATAATGTGAGCTCGTTCTGAGCATGCGCTCTAAACAGAACCCACAATTATGGCGTCCAGTGAATACCTCCTATTGCGGTCCAACGGCGCTACAGAGCCCAAAGACAACGCACAGCGAGCGGCGTGGACGCTCGCCTCCCCGCGCTGTCTCGTGCTCTCGTGCACCGCCTAGGCGGGGGATTTGTCGTCAAAAGTTGCGAAGTTGAGCGCGCGCTGGGAGGAGGAAACTTTGCGGCGTTCTTTTGGTCACTCCCCCCGCTACGTCAGAAAGCAAAGAATGTTTTGTTCCACGAGTTTAGCGACCCAGAAGGACATATGCATGATCTCGATAACTCATGCACCGCTAACACGAACTCTGTTAATGCGCCCAGCCAAGTATGTTTTGAACTACAGACATAACGGCAAAGACACATTTTTCGACACCTTTCCCATTTGTTTGTGCACCAGCTAGTGCCAAGGTTGTTTCTTTTTTTTTTTTTCATATGTGATTAAGGGCATCCTTTCCTTTGAGCCGTACTTCAAACAAAGTTTGTGCATCACCTTTTTTTCATTGTGTTAAATTATATAGCACTGCCTAAAGTGCCTGGGTCTCTCAAAAAAGTCGTTGACACCGGTCAGCAAGAAAAGCTGTCACGTGACCTTACTAAAAGCCTGTTTCCCGCTCCGTTGTACCGCCCTTTATTTTCTGGGTGTCAGGGCTAGAATGTCCTGGCACGAGTAAAGCCAATGATTGTGGCACCTTCGGCGAAGTCTTTTTTTCATTAGACTGCAGAGTTCCACACTTCTTGTGAAGGCGTGGCTAAATTATAAGGGATTTCTTATGTCATGGACAACAACCTGTTTGCTCTGCAAGCAACCAGAAACGGTTCACCATGTCTATCTTTTTTTGGGACCGCCAATTCTTCTGGAACGTGCTACAGAGCACTTTAAAAACAAGACTTCTTTATCAACCCTCACCGAATCCATCCCCTAGATCTACAAAAGAAAAACTCTGTGCCCTATCATATGTTTTTTTTTGTTTGTTTTTTTTTTGGGGGGGGGGATTGTTTAGTAGATGGAAAATGCGAATGGAAGTCAGAAATGCAGACCTTGATGCCAAAAAAGTGCACTTGTATTTTGTTCAACTTGTCACGCAGGTTGAAAATGTTTGCAGCTTACTACAACCTTCAAGTGAACTAGAATCGGCGTTTAATATGGTGAAAGGCATGCGCCGATTTCAAACAAAGCCCTTTGAAAAGTGCTCAAGAGGGTCTTCCTGTAGAAAAACAGAAGTGACAACGCATTATGTCTGTTCCCTTTGTTGCTTAACCCATACAATAAAAACTTTAAAAGAAATCTGCGTGGCCTAGTCGGTAGCGTGTCTGACTCGCAACCGGAGAATCGTGAAACCGAATCATGCCTAAATTTTTTTTATGTTTTGTTTAATTCAAATGATAATCTATATAAAGTGAAATCATTTGAGAGATGCGACGACTTTTAATTCGAATTACATGTTACGTTTTAATCACTTTGATTGTACGCGTGAGGTCACGTTTCGCATGAGCTTTGTGGGTTGTTTGAAACTCACGCGCGAGATCATGTGGCTGTGACATAATGACTTTATTGACTAATAAGGATTCTCTCGTCACACAACCGATGCCGATGCAGGTTTTTCTGCGACACAAGCTCCTTAAGTTATCGTTTCAAGACAACAAATTTTTCGCCCTGGCAACTTATTATCGCTGTGCACCCAATCAAGTTGCGGTAGTAAGCGCTAATGGAGCCAAAGAACCAATCACGAAGCAAGAAGTGTGAGCATACTGAGCCACACCCTACGTTTCGTATACGAAACGTAGGGTTATATTCACTGAGAGCTTATGAGCTCTCAGTGAATATAATAACTGTGTATTCGTGGGTCCTGCGGATCAATTATGTTACAGTAGACGTACAAAACAGGAATACAGGCTATTAATACGAAAAATTATTTTTCTCGAACAATAAATTCAAAGGCTTGAAAATAATTAGAGTGCTCAAGCATTTTACTGGATATTAACAACAGTGAAATGGTTATATTTGTCGACACGGTTACTGTCGGATGATTTGAATATTGGCAACACCCTTTCAATTGTCACTCCTCTGGAACGCCACCTCGGTTAAGACTGTGGGAGTAAACCGCGTGAAAAACATTACCAAACCGTTCAAGATGCCCAAAAAAAATATATATAAAAAAAGTTTTGAATCTTATTAGACGCTAGCAAGAGCAGCGGCAAATGCCGCTGCTCTTGCTAGCGTCTATGTAAAGGAGGGCAACAAGAACGCCTTCCGGAATTTGACAACACGATCCAGGAGGGTTATTTTCATTCATTGTTTCGCAATGCATTGTCTCACTGTGAATATTATACAGAATTAAAAACGAGAAAGTGACTTTCTTGTTTTTGTTGTATCTAATTTATGTATTTAAATGTTATTAATATATGCATACATTTAGCGTAATGTAAGGAATTAAGAAAAGTATCTGAATTAAGACATCGTTGATGTGAAGCATAAGCCTAATAACACCAACCCTCAACGTACTCAGCAGCAAATGTAAACCAAATGAAAATTAACCGATTCGAGCCTACAGGTGAACTTTGCAATGTAAATACCTCTAGAGTCAGAACGTGTCAACATATGCTTTATGTCTAAAAAATATCTAAAAATAAGCACGCCACATAAAACATTTCTACTGATGAAAAAAAAATGTAAGTGCGTAGGCAAGCTGGCCTGAGCCTGGTGCAGAAAAGGAAAAAAAACTTTTAGTCGATGTAACAGACACAGAATGGAACGTTCCCTTTTGTATCTGTTCCTTCGACTACATTTTCTTTTCTTTTTCTGAACCACAGTCTCAGGTGTCAAACGACATTATTTACATGAAGCAACGAAACTCACGGTGGTACACTAACTGTACAGAAGAGCATTTTACACTCACTAATAATGGAATCTTTAAAGCGCACAAAAGCATCCCCATTTTGATTTCAGAGAACGGCTGCCCAAGGGTATCAGAAGATAGCTTCCGCAGGTTGAATCAATCTACAACAAAACGTCCACAAATGTCACCATTTAGACTTGGACAGATCTGCCAATATCATTCTCGTGAGAACAGGAACGCCCAATGTATCGGAGATGTAAGTTTCAAACCCTATTTAAAGGGTGCTAAGTGAATTGTGGCTTTTTCTTTGCTCACAAGCCGGCCTATGAAATGCGGCATTTGCCCAGTTAAATATTCACTGATTATGCTTAAGGGCGAAGATAAGTTGATCTATATTTACATTGAACCGAAATTCTCGTTTTAGCCAAGCCTTGCCTTCCGGAACTGCACCTTGTGCTGCGCTTGCAGTGATGGCGCTGCAATTTTCTACTTTGATACAACTGCACCCAATGGATTTCCCTGCAAAAATAAGGGCCATGACAAGGTAAACTTCACTTTGCTTATTACAGTGATACCATGTTATGGGCTTTTCCCACCGCTATTTCTGAAGTCCGTTGTGTTTGTGGTTGTTGTAGTAATCATTGCAGGGAGGAGAGCATACGGCGTCAGTCCTCGATATTGTCTAATGCTTGAAAAGATCGCCCGCCGCCCCGGTGTTCTCAGGATTCGATTCTAGGTCCGCTAATGCTACATCTACTGTGGAAATGTACAACAGTATGCTACCGCTCATCCCAAGATGGACAACATGCATTAGAGCTACGCCTGAGCTTAGAGATAACTAGTTTTATGAGCGGTATTTGAGGAGCTTTCATGCGCGTATGAATCTCGTGTATCGCCCGCTAGATGGCCACAGTTGCTGCGATGTCGTGACAGAAAATGTTTGCTAGTTTTAATTAATTACAAATTTAATTTGAGTTTTTGAAGATATTATCTTCTGATAGGTGGCGCAAGCCGCCGCCCGATTAAAATATTTCAGCTGTATCCATCCATTCAGTACCACTTAGGACACAAGGCGTGCGAATTTCATCATCCGTAGTAGATCCCTGAGCCGCCCCAAGCGGAAAACGCGCGGAAGCTTGACGACAGCTTGGTGCAAAGCGGCACACCTGTGCGTCTTGCCGTCGCCGCGTGCTAGTGCGCTTGTTATGAGACACTGAAACTCTCTGGCCACGACGCAGACGCGTCTCGCCGTTCGTCGCAGAAAGAACAGTGAGGTGCATGGTCGTCAAAACGAGGCCAAGAGACTTTGTCGTCAAGCCCCCACGGTGCGCAAACGCGGCACCGATGCCTAACGACTTCGCCGTGACGTGACGCATCTATCACCATGACTGTACTGTGGATCAACAGAGGAGTGTTCATTTTTTTGTTATTTATTTTCCATCTTTTGTTTCGGTATTGAAAAAAAAAATTAATTCGCATTTTATTTGTATGGCACCTTGGCATGAATAACGTTACAAGTTATGGCTTTCGGTACAAGGATTATACATAATATAAATAATCGGAAAACAATCTCAATTAAAGGACGGCCAAATGAGTCCAGAAAGTAAGGCAGAGGAGGAGACGAGAGGGACGTCAGAACGCAGAGTTCTGATTGGAAGGATTAGTGGGTAGGCCTAAAGCTAGCTGTTTTTGTCTCCACTGCACTCGTCGAACGCGTTAGGACGCGGAACGCCGGCGTCCGGCGTTTGGTTTTCGCATTCGAATGCATTCAAACGACGAGTACAGTGGAGAAAAAAGTTGTCTCCACTGCACACGTCAAAGGCGCATGCGTCTGGCGTTCGGCTCTGACATTCGAACGCGTTCGACGCGTGCAGTGGAGACAAAGGCAGCTAGCTTCCGGCCTACCCTCTAATCTTTCGAACCAGAGCTCGGCGTTCTGACTTTCCCGCGCGCTCTGGTCGCCCCCCCCCCCCCTCTCCCACAATTTTTAGGCACATAAACTATATCGCTCATTTAAAATTGGTTGCTTTATATTCTATACGCTTCAGGATCAGACAGTACCTCAAATTTAATCATTCTGCAGTGCATTATAATAAACGAATAGAAAATCTTAACCCAGAAAATATTTTAAATCATATTGCTATGGGTTATTTATATTTCCACAGCTTACGCTCCTTAAATCTTAATAAACTCGAAATTTAAGAATATTTTGTAGAACAAAACGTTTTTTTAATTATTCTTAATATTTAAATATTATATTTGCTATATTCAAATGTTCCTCATCAAGAATCCCGAGGGTTCAATATCTAACATGTTCTTGGTTTTCACCGAAGAACTTATTAAACTGAAAAGTTCGTCTTTAGCAAATAGGCTCGTTCGACTGACCGAAGGCAGAAAAAAGTATGACGGGAAAAAAACAGGTGGGGCGGAGTACCTCAGCATATATTAAAATACCCTAAACAACTCAAAAGAGATTGCGTCTTTCTTTGTTTAACAAGTGTTAGAGATAATATTCGGCCTTTTTCATATGGGTTTGTCATTGGCGGCATATTGTACTCATTTGTAAACTAAGTATACAGTTACGTAGCGGTACTGCATGCTGAGCTTTGATCGATTCCTCACCATAGACAGATATGCTACATAAAAACTGAGTATGAATATCTTGAGGAGTTCATGCTTCCTTTAGTCCTTCATAGCAGCTTATTATGTTTTTCTGCGGTTTCAAAATTCAACTAGTGTTGTTTTTGTATCGAATCCGCCGTCATCTAAATTATAAATTAAATTTTAAAGTTTAATTTAAAATTCGGGAATATTTAGAATATGTGGTGGTTTTGGTTGACAGTCGTATGAACGATGTAATATTTATACCTTATGTGTTTCGAGCAACTTTACTGTGAGTTCCTATATTTTAACGTATTAGTGTTACAGTACTACATACCTAAGTCAAAACAAGTGAAAGTGTTGCGCGATCAGAGTAAACTACAGCTAGATAAAAAAAGAATTCCAAAATACTTTCCCGTAACTCACATACTAATATTACTATTTCTATTATTGTTACTTACTTACTTATTTTTATCGCGGAGCACGAGGGCGTTGTAGCAAAGCACATAAATATAAACACTGCATTATTAAATTGATGAATTTCAAGCAAACTTTATTTTGGTCGGTCTTCCGAAACGTTCAACATCAATATAACTTTCATAATGTTCAATTATCAACCTTTTTCAAATATTATTAGCACAACATGGTGTCTCTGACAATAAATTATTCTCAGTACTCTTAGTGAATGCGAACTTAAATCACACAGAGTTGGAATGTTTCCAATGGGCAAAAACGAAAAAAAAATTGCTGTATCTGTCAAATCTCACAAAGGTTTTGAAGTCTTACACTTTAGTTCTGGAAAATCAAACCTTTTTTTAACATTGATTCCAGCAACGTACTGCTATTTCACTCAACGTCTATGAAAATACTACAGTTTCAGTGTTGGTAAAGAATTTACATATTTAGAAACACTATCATGGCGTGGCGCTGACCGACCGAAATGTCGTAGTGTAACCAAGGTACAAAATTATTTAATAGTACCTGGCATGCGTAATCTATACGTTATCATAAGGCCTTTTAGCTTCCTTTCACGACAGTTTTACCTGAAGTTATAACTGCTGTATTAACTACAATAATCAGAATAACAACAAAAACAACAAAAGCTCAGCCATGTTTTTTTATTTAATTAAAATCCTGTATGGTTCATTTAATTGCAACGAACATATTATTACAAATTAAAATGATCATCGCCTAATAAATTGTTTTTAAAGCGAAAAAGTTAGCCATTCGGGAAAATACCTATTCAAAATGTATTAAAACGCTTTTTTTCAGTGCAACGACCAAGGAAAGTGCAAAACCAAATAGCCATAAAAACCACGAGAGGTTGCATGATTCAGCAGTGAAGTCAACTAGATGTACACTGAAGACACAAGCAGCCTAGTAAACATTCTACGATTTAAAAAAAAAAAAATATATATATATATATATATATATGTTTCTGTGTGTGTGCGTGCCTGGGAAATAAAGCGATTTAGTAGTTTCTGAAGACCTTTTTTCATGTCCGTAAATCTGCCGTTGTGCGCATAGGCTTTAATTAATAAAAATGAATGCTGTGCTCTAGCCAAAACGCGGAATTGAATATGTTCTACTTGAAATAAGAATGTTCTGCAAATATGAACGCAAGAATCTTCATATAAGTAAATAAATGTTCGAAAATTAAAGACATCTTTGTAAGACACACAAGCATGTTATATTACTGCTTTCACAGTGACTCACAAATTAAAATCAAAGCAATTAACGCAACCTTACCACATTTAGGCTGGAGTTGAAATGCAAAAAACTTTGTATAACAAAATTGTTTTGCATATGTCTTGGATTATGGATTTGAATTGACGACATTGCAGCACTTTCAAGACATTTCCTTTGAAATTTCAGAACTTGAAGGATCTAGGAAGAAACATATTCTTGCCTAGTATTTTTTTTCCAGCTCCCTTCACCATGCTATTCGCAAAGTGCATTAGCAATCTTATCACTATATTAATTATTAGCTGCAATCACTGTATGTAAGATATTACGTTCATGAAACGGCTGTGGGTCATGGGAAAACAATCTATAAGCGTGAAAATGGCATAGCTACATCAGCGAAACCAATAAAATAGAATATCCGTAATTATATGCCAAACTTTCAATAAGAAATTATTTCTTCCTTATTCTCTCTCTCTCTCTCTCTCTCTCTTTACCTTCTTCTTTGTGGAGTTATGATATATGTTTAATAAAAGGGAGACTACTTAAATAGCTTGTTATTCAAGACTCCGTTAGATCGCATATCTCTGCTATTTCATGTACACCACACATTCTCAAAAAATGCCATTGCGCCTACTTTCCCCAATACGCTCAAAAAGTCAGCAGGACAAATGACGATGCTGAAAATATTATTAGATCATGGAATGATGCAGTCTGCAATCTGTCAATGAATTTGTTTAACATTCTCATTGACATGACTCCCTGGCCTCTTCCAGCTGCCTTTACTGTAGCTTTTTTTTTTTTTTTTGTCATGAAAGTTACAGCATTGTATACGCTGAAAAAAAAATATTTAGCTCACGCCATGCTCGGTTAAGCAGTAGCATTTTTATACTCCAGTTATAAAAAAAAATATACCGCCCATGTTTAGGTTTCACAATGGCGAGGTATCGGCCGGTATACTCCGTTTCACCCAAAGACCGAGAACAACCGACGCTAAGATGCCAGGAGGCTAATCAAGCAGCACCAAATAGACATCGCCACAACGTGCATCGACTTGGCGCTTTCCCATTAAAGACTAAGCCAACCAACCATTAACGACTAAGCCAACCAAGTGCGCCGCGATCCTGTACTTTTTTGTTTTTTGCGTGCGTGATTGGTTTAGCTGGCGATGCAAAACACACAAAAGCCATGAGCGCCGTGACGATGCACTTTTCGCGCTGCTTGATTGGCTCCGTCGGATCGCGACACCGACCACGGCGTAAGACATGCAGGTGAGGAAACGGGAGCCAATTGGATGATAGAGTCCCCGCTTTGGGATGGTCCTGAAGCGGAGACAGTCCGCATAGATGGCGCCATGCGAAGAAGAAACGAGAAACGAAATATTCTCATTCATTTTGCGAGTAACGCGACCCACTTTCAATTTATTTTGTAGGCTGCGCACCAACTACGCATGTTCAGTAGAGCAAACTAATCATATATTTAATATATGGGTTCTGGTTTTGCCCATAGTTTTACGTCACAAGTTATACTGATCAAGAGGGAAAGTAGTGCAGCAAAAATTAAGGTGAGCTGAGAGGTCAGCTGAGGTGCGTTGAAAATGCGTCGACGGCGTCGATGCCACTCCGCCTGCGGATGTGTTCGGCGATCTAGCTTATAAGTTTTCGCTGTTTACGTGCAAGCAAGGTACGTTTCAGTTCGACGCGATTTGAAGTCAGCGGTGTGCCGACGGCGCTACACTGCGGTCGGACTCTGCCCAGTACGACAGAGTCACCCGAAGTCAACATCGCCCGGGTTAAAAGTCTGCGATATGTTTTTTTCCTCGGGCCACAACTCGACTGACAGTTTGGCGCGCGGCATTACTCCCCCCTTAAAAAGTGCATCGCCCCGATGCATCCCAAAACAAAACAAAGCACATAAAAAGAACGGCAAACTAAAGAGTCACTTGAAACACATAAAATCCACAGTCCTATCGAGCGTAGTACGGCTTCAGGCGCACGACGTGGACGACTTCAGGTCGTGGTGGGCGGCGTGATGATGTTCTTATTCCGTAGGGCATCACCTCGTAGTTCAGCTCGCCGAGGCGACGAAGTACCTTGTATGGTCCAAAGTACCGTTTCAGCAGTTTCTCACTGAGGCCGCGGCGACGGATGGGCGTCCACACCCACACCCTGTCTCCGGGCTGGAAGTGAACGTCCCTGCGACGAAGGTTGTAGCGGCCAGCGTCGACGCGTTGCTGGTCTTGAATCATGAGTCGGGCGAGCTGGCGGACTTCTTCGGCGCGTTGAGCAACCGCCTGGGCGTCGTCGCTCTCATTGTCAAATGGCTCATGGGGCAGCATTGCGTCCAGCATGGTCGTTACCTTCCGACCATGTACCAGCTGGAAAGGGGGGAATCCAGTGGTCTCCTGAACCGCCGTATTGTAGGCAAACGTGACGTAGGGCAACACCTCGTCCCACGTCTTGTGCTCTACGTCGACGTACATAGAGATCATATCGGCGATTGTCTTGTTGAGTCGCTCGGTCAGCCCGTTGGTCTGCGGGTGGTATGCAGTGGTTCGACGATGGCCGGTGCCACTAAGACGAAGAATCTCTTGCGTCAGCTGGGCCATGAACGAAGATCCGCGATCTGTAATCAGAACTTCGGGAGCGCCGTGCCGGAGGACGATGGACTCGATGAAAAACTTGGCGACTTTCACAGCCGTCCCTGAAGGAAGAGCTTTCGTTTCGGCGTACCGCGTGAGATAATCTGTGGCGACGATGATCCAGCGGTTCCCCGGCGTCGAAGGCGGAAAAGGACCAAGTAGATCCATTCCGATCTGCTGGAAGGGTGTAGTTGGAGGAGAAATGGGCTGGAGAAGTCCGGCCGGCCTCGTCGGCGGTTTCTTGCGTCGCTGGCACTCGTGGCATGATCGTGTGTATAGGTGGACGGTCTTGGGGAGCTTCGGCCAGTAATACTTTTCACGAATACGGGCCAGTGTCCGGCTGTAACCAAGGTGTCCGGATGTCGGGTCGTCGTGGCAGGCTTGGAAGATCTCTTCTCGAAGGTCGGTCGGGATTACCAGCAGCCACGTGGAGTTGTTGCCGAAGTTCTCTTTGTAGAGAACTCCTTGTCTAATGGCGAAGGTCGGCAGGGCTCGTGAAAAAACACGTGGTATGGCACTCCCACGCCCTTCCAGGTGCTCCATTAGTGCGCGCAGCTCAGGATCGTCTCGTTGACGTCGAGCCATGTCGTCGGTGTTCACTGCGCCCAGGAAACACTCGTCGTTATCGTCGTCGCTGCTGTCGGAGGGTGTCTCGACGGGAGCTCTGGACAGGCAGTCGGCGTTGCTGTGCTTGCGGCCCGACTTGTAGACTACGGTCATGTTGAACTCTTGTAGTCGGAGACTCCATCGCGCAAGGCGGCCTGACGGGTCCTTGATGTTCGCAAGCCAGCAGAGCGAATGGTGGTCCGTGACTACGCGGAACGGGCTTCCGTATAAGTACGGACGAAACTTCGTGATCGCCCAGACGACCGCAAGGCATTCTTTTTCAGTCGTGGAGTAATTTCGCTCCGCCTTGGACAATGTTCGACTTGCGTAGGCGGTGACTCGCTCGGTGCCCTCTTGTACTTGGACTAGTACTGCGCCCGGTCCCGCGTTACTTGAGTCCGTGTGAATTTCTGTTTCCGCATCCTGGTCGAAATGTCCAAGCACAGGAGGAGTCTGGAGTCGCTGTTTCAGTTCGTCGAATGCCTGCTGTTGCTCCTCGGCCCATTCGAACTTCTCGACGTCCTTCGTGAGATTCGTAAGTGGTGCGGAAATCCTTGCGAAATCCCGAACGAAGCGTCGATAATAGGCACAAAGTCCAAGGAATCTTCGCACGGCCTTCTTATCTGTCGGCGCTGGAAATGCCGCGACGGCGCGAGTCTTCTCGGGGTCTGGGCGGACGCCTTCGTTACTAACCACGTGGCCAAGGAACTTCAGTTCGTCACAAGAGAACCGGCACTTTGACGGCTTGAGTGTGAGTCCAGCGGTCTGAATGGCTTGAAGAACAGCTCGGAGTCGTCTCAAGTGCTCGTCGAAGTCAGCTGAAAATACTACGATGTCGTCAAGGTAGACGAGACAACTCTGCCACTTCAGCCCTGCCAGTACGGTGTCCATGACGCGCTGGAAAGTTTCTGGCGCCGTGCATAGTCCGAAGGGCATCACCTTGAACTCGTACAGTCCATCCGGCGTGACGAAGGCTGTCTTCTCTCGGTCCCGTTCGTCGACCTCGATTTGCCAGTAGCCGCTCTTCAGTACCATCGATGAAAAGTATCGAGAGTGGCGCAGCCGGTCTAGAGTGTCGTCGATGCGGGGGAGTGGGTAGACGTCTTTCTTCGTAACCGTGTTGAGCTGCCGGTAGTCCACGCAGAACCGAAGAGTTCCGTCCTTCTTCTTAACCAGCACGACTGGAGAGGCCCATGGACTGCTTGAAGGTTGGATTATGTCGTCATTCAGCATCTCTTGAACTTGCTGATGGATCACCTCCCTTTCCTTAGCGGAGACTCTGTACGGCGATCGATGCACAGGGCGCGCGTCGTCCTCGGTAACGATGCGGTGCTTCGCAACGGCGGTTTGGCGCACCTTCGACGACGTCGCAAAGCAGTCGCGGTATTCGGCGAGAAGGTTAAACAGCTGACGTCGTTTCGGGTCCGGAAGCTTAGGGTCAATGTCGAGCTGCGCTGG